ATATTTGAAAAATATATATATATATTTGAAACCATAAAAAAAGAAATAAAAGAAATGTATACTGTAAAATGTGATAAAATGTAAATTAAAATTAATTAATTTAAAGTTAAAAAAAAAAAGAAAAGGACATGGTTCAAAAAAGATGTTTCTAAAGCCAATTGAATTTCATGAACTGGAACACCTGTGTCTTAACTCATTTATCAGAATATGGATGGATGATCCTCCCTACAAAATGACTTAGAGTTTTTGGTAGCTGATGAAACAGTAAATTTATGATATCAAGTACATTTTGCATGTAATGAAGACTCTATTTCTCAGCCTATATTCTTTTCATAATCTTCTCAGTAACCAAGACTGGGGAAATAGAGCAAATAACCACAGTTTTACCATTTAAAAGCCTCCAGGTAGTTGAAATGGTTAAGATCTAGACATGATAAATCCTTAGAGAAAAGGGCCGCATGTACAGTGAAGTATATCATTGTGTAAGTGTTTGCCCATGCACTGAGGGAAATCAAGGTGCTATGTGAGCTGGCCCTTACAGAGAGAGGCAGGTTCACAGGGAAGAACTGGGAGAGGGTTTTAATAGAGGCAGATATGAGCATCATATAGGGAAGCCACATCTCTGCCTTCAGGGTCAGGACCTTAGATCCAAGCATGAGTGTACATGATTCCTCTTAGAAATCTCTATGAGGGGGGAACCAGCAGTTAGCGTAATGGCTATGTCGCTGGACTCCCACGTAGTTGACCGCGGTTCTCATCCCGGACCCGGTGGCTTAAAACTCACACCGGGCGCGTGTGCGTGCGTGCCCAAGATCCCGAGAGGAGAATGGAGGAGAAGGGATTGTGGCGTGACCATCCCCCCTGGGGGGTGATTTCTCACTTTCTGTCTCTATGTCTCTCTCTGTCTGTCTGGCGAGCGCATGCGCCCTACAGTGAAAAACCTCTCAAAAAAAAAAAAAATCTCTGTGAGGGTGCTCCATTGGAGGGTCAATAAACCTAGTAGAGCTAGGTTATTTTCCTTAACAGAGCCCAGTTCTTCCGTTACTGACTAGAGTTGAGGGACAATGCTGTTCCCCCAAAAACTGGTATGTTCAGTGAGGGTGAAGGTGGTCATGGGAGATGCTCACACTTGAGAGGTGTCTGGGCTGTGCTGACTCAGAGAGCCCAGCTGACCCCTCTTCTTTTGACACAACACCCCTGGTTGAATTCTTGCATGTAAATGCCTGTCTCTGAGCTCTGCACTATAATAGCAGATGCGGGCCAACTGCCTGTAGGGGGCATGCCTAAGCTCTAGAGAGATGCAAAGGTGGATAGGCCCGGGAGAGCAGAAATGGATTCCCTACAAAACTGAGATGAGCTCAGAACAGAAAGACTAAGCGGTGGGAACCGTTCTAGGTAGAGCAGAGTGGTGGAGGCTGACCTGGCTATTGCAGTGATTCTGCAGTGCTGAAGCCCCACCTGGGGGAGGGCAGTGGCCACAGGAAGGGAGGAACCCAGGAGAGCTAGATTTAGGGGATGCTGGTCCTGTTGAGAGACAATGGTGACAAACAGGGAAAGTCTCTGGACTCGAAAGTTTGAGTTTAGCTTTTGCCAAAAGTCGCATAATTAGTTAAAGGCTGCTCTTTTGATCTTTTCTAACTAAATTCCTACACATAAAAGAAATAAAAATGCCTACATTAGGGGGATTGTGAGGATTAAATTCAAGATGTCTGTCTATGAAAGCACCGTCTCGGTAAAACATTACAGAAATGTTGGAATTTTCCCAAGGTACAGCAGGGAGGCCGATTTGGGCACAGAGCTGGGCCGCAGCCTCCCACCTCATCCTCGTTAGCATCATCCTCTGTCTGGGCTGCATTTTCTTCATCTGTACCCACTGGCTCTTATGGGAAATCAGTCTTCTCTACCTCGATTCCAGGCATAATCGTTTTCAGGATAAGACCCTTCCTCACAGCCTCGTTAAGAGTCTTTTCTGCTTCCTGAACTGCAGGTCTCAGGCTTCCTCTCTGAACATTGCCCCTGTCCATTGCCAACCTTCAGCATCCCAGCCCCTTCTTAAGTGGTCTTCGACAAGGCCTCCCCATCTCCCACCCTGCCCCATCGCCCACTCTCACTGCTCCCGTGCTTTCTCTCCTAATTTCCTCTGCTCTCTTCAATATCAGGAATGATCTTTTAATTCAAAATGAATTGGCAATTATTATTGCTTAGAACAGAAAGTTAGACATTTTTTTTAAGTTGCTTATAGCAACTAGAGTACAGCTAACATTCCAAAGATCCCTTCCTTTATGAGCTGGTCACTTGTTTGGGTGGGAAAAGTCTTCTGAATTCCAGAAAGTGCTAGGGTCTGTGAACCAGGAGCCAGGCAGTACAGGAAGGAAGAAGAAGAAAAAAGTCCCAGAAGTCCATATGACATGGGTGTGAGTCTCTGTCCTGCCACTTACTAGCTCTGTGGCCTTTTCCAAAACCTTGTCATCTCTGAGCCTTTGTTTTCCCCACTGGGAAGAGGCTGTAGCAGAGCCTGTCCTGCAGTGAGATTTGCATGAAATCGCTGATGTAGAGAGCCTAGCTTGGTACAGTGACATGGAGGTGGATGATGTGTGCTCATTTCTTTCCTCCACTTCTTCCTGCCTTTCTTCAGTGATCAGTAGAATCTCAGGAGACTTTGAAAAATGCTGAAGTCTCTCCTTTCTGCCCCCCTTCCCAGCCTACAACCAGGTCTCCAGATCTTGTTTTTCATCCTACCCACCTCAATACCGAGTTCCGAACCCTGACAGTCTCAGCTGGGGCGGAGAGGAGAGGGCATCAATTCAGCTCTCTTTAGGGAAGTTATTCCAAGACAGCTCTTCGACATATCTGCACTTTTAAAAATCTAGAATGTATCTACTAACACAAATGATTCTGGAATTGGTGGTCTCTGTTACTTAAAAAAAAAAAAAAGAAGAAGCCATCCAGAAGATGACTTGGGGGATGGGGCTGTGGGATTGATAGGGAGACTCATCACTCTTGAGGGTGGTCTCTCTTTGCTGTTCTTGCCTCTCGGTTTCTTTCCTATTCTCAGGCCATGAGAGGGGGCTCGGCAGCAGGCTGCTGTGGGGGCTTAGAGCAGCATCTCTGTGCTGGTGGACATCCTCCATCAACTAGTTTTCTTCTTGAAATTTTCAAATGACAGGTCTTTAAAGACCCCTGCATTTAAACAATTATTTTATTTAACTTTATTTATTTTCATTTGATCAGAGAAGGACAGAGTGTTGGGGGGAGTGAGTGAGAAAGCAAACCTCTAGGTTTGGTACTCAAACCACAGTTGGCCATATGGGGAATCCAGCATCCTTAACTGCCATGCCACCTACTGGTGCCATCTTTTCAATTTTTTAAAAATTTTTATTACATTTAATCACTGTACAAATATACATTTTTAAATAAACATTTTATTTTGGAATAATTTAAAATTTACAGACAATTTGCAAATTTAATACTGACAGTTCCTGTATAACTCACCCTAATTTCCCCCATTGTTAATATAACACACTGTGATACATTTATCACAGCTAAGAAACCAACATTGGTACTGGCCAAATTCCATATTTTGTTCAGATATTCTTCGTTTACCCATTAACATTTGTCCTCTTTTTCTTTTTTTTCATTTCATGATAGAGCTTATGCATGTATGTGAGTCAGGGGGGAAGGGAGTGCTCTCCCCAGGGTCTGGTCACGCTACGATCCCCTTCCTCCTCTCTTCCAGCCTGCCAGATGTTGAGCACTCATGCATGTGCCTGGTGTGTTTCAGGCTGACCGGGTGGTTGTCAGGTGGGATCCTGCTTCTCTTGAGCGGCATGTGACAGCTCTGCCCCAGAGCCAGCCCCTGATATCCCATTTCTGTTCCAGGATCCCACCCAGGAGACCACATTGCGTTTGTTCTTCATGCCTCCTTAGTCTCCTCTGGTCTGTGACAGTTTCTCGTCTTCCCTTGTTTTTTTCATGGCTTGACAGTTAGGAGTACTGGTCAGGTATTTTGAAGAAAGCCCATCAGTTTGCATTTGTCAGATGTTCTTCTGATGATTAGACTGGGGCTATGGGTTTTGGGGGCAAGACACAGAGTACAGTGCCCTTCTGACTACATCCCCAGGGGTGCATGATGGAGGCATGGCTCAGCTAACCTTGGTCTCCTGGCTAAGGGAGTATGGCCATCCCTGTACTATTTTGTTTAAAGGTGTTTTTCTCTCTTTGTGCAGCTGTTAAAAAACCTGCTCCAGCACCCCCAAAACCAGGAAACCCACCTCCTGGCCATCCCGGGAGCCAAAGTTCTCCGGGAACATCTCAGCTTCCACCCAGTCTGTCACCAAAGCCGTCCACCCGAAGTCCTTCCCCTCCTGTCCAGCACACAGGCCAGGCTCCAAGCCAGCCCTCCAGCACCGCCCAGCTCTCTGCACCCCGGAGGTACTCCAGCAGCCTATCTCCAATCCAAGCTCCCAGCCACCCGCCACCACAGCCCCCAACCCAGGCCATGCCGCTGATGCACTCCAAGCCAAACAGCCAGACCCCACCCAACCCCATGGCCTTGCCCAGTGAACATGGACTTGAGCAGCCACCGCACACCCCTCCCCAGACTCCAACGCCCCCCAGTACTCCACCCCTAGGTAAACAGAATCCTGGCCTGCCAGCTTCTCAGACCCACGCGGTGAATAACCCCGAGACTGTGCAGCTCCATGCTGGAACCTTACCAAGACCGAGACCAGTACCAAAGCCAAGGAATCGACCCAGTGTGCCTCCACCCCCACATCCTCCTGGTGCCCACTCAGCTGGGGATGGCAGCCTCACCAATGCAGTGCCTACAGCTTCCAAAATAGTAACGGGTAAGTAGGAAAGTGGCTTCCACATCCCCACCCCCACCACCCCAATCTGTGCTGCTTTGGTTCACAGCAGGAGTCAGCCCACTACAGTGTTTGTGATTAAAGTTTTATTGGCACACAGCCATTCCCATTTATTCGCACTTGCCTATGGTTGCATTAGTGCTAAAACAGCAGAGTGGAATAGTCACAGCAGAAATCCTAAGGCCCATAGAGCCTACAGTATTAACCACCTGGCCTTTGAAGTTTGCCGACCCGATTTATAGTTCATTATGTGTTTAAGACCAGTCTACATTTACATTTTCCTGAGTACAGTGACTTTTAATCCCAGTGGAAGGTATTATACAATATGGACATGAAATTAATTTCTTAGTGAATTAATTAATTATTAATTTAGTAAGTGAAGAATTTCGGGTATAATTAAAAAACATTATTTATGCCAAATTGGATGGTCTGAGAAGGGAGTTCTCAGGATGGATCCTGTCAGAGTACCAGCCTCTCATGGCTTGGAATGGAAAAAGATTTCCCTGCATTCCTGGTGGAAACCTATTTTGGAGTAATGGACACTATACATACAGATTTTAGTGGGCTCTTAGGGGGATTATTTTTTTATCGGCAGTCTAGAACATGACCTTTCTATTTTATTATGATTTTAAAAACTAGTTCCATCCCAAATGTCCTTATTTACTATTTAATTTAAAAATAGATTTCTTTGTCTTTAGTGGGCTTTTTTAAAATGGCAATTAGGAGCCTCAAATAATTTCTAACAACATCCAAGTTTTAAATGGTTTTAAGTGGAGGCATTTTTGGAAAAGAAGCTGAAATACCCCTGTAGGGATCCCCAGCTATGCTGAGCAACTGCTCAGCTGAAAATGAGCCAAGGGTACACCTGAAACTGGCACCCCAAGTGGTAAGGAATAACTGACTACAAAAATGTCTCTTGGTAACTTTTTATTCAGGAATATTATGCATAATTTGCACATAGTATAAGTGATTAATAACTTTTTTTTTATGACACCAGAGTTTTTATTTCGAAAATAGCAAAGCCACATTGGTTTGTTTGTTTGTTTGTTTCCCAATATAGATGCCCTTCCCAGTGCCCTCTCAGGTGGGGAAGGTTTCCAGGACTAAGGTCTGTAACCCCCCCAAGCAACTTGCACCGTAGCTCCGAATGCTCCTGCTTAGCCGTGTTTTCGCATATGTGCTTTTGACTGTGTGCTTACAAGCAGTCATTTGACCCCACGCCATGGCCGTCAACGGGCCATCGTTCTATAGCATGTAGGCCTTCCTTTTGAATTTATCAGAAGCATTTTGAGCTGCAGTGCTCTAAATCCAATAGGTAGATGTCAGTAGATTTCAGAGTCCAATTTCAAGCTGCTTAGATAAGATACTGAGAGTATCTTCTCTCTTTTTGGTAAGTGATCTACAAGTGTTCTGCTCGTCGCAGCATGGTTTCCCTCATAGACTCATCAGCATTACACAAAAGAAGACTTGGGTGTAGTTGGCAAAGAAAATTGTGGCCCTTGAGTCTCAAGCTTTAATTTTTAATTTTTTTCATCTTAAGTGCAAGTTAACTGCATGGAGCTTCTTAATGTAATCTGAAATTCTCAAGGCCCCCAAAAAGAAATCTTTCCCTCACAGATCCTAAACTGAATTCTTTTAAATTCCTTTGCATTCTAGCATGCATATATTTGCTTCCTTAAATTATATGAGCTCTTTAAAAGTTGCTGTGAGGCTCATGGTAGTCTGCCTTTGGGCCCACATTAAGACAACATATGGCTCTCATTATGGGTACAGTTGAATTAATCAACTGATCTGAGCCTTAAGCCTCTGGTGGGCTACTTTGCCTGAGTGTTCACAGTTTGGACATGAATAAAAACTCTAAAACCAGAATAGAAGAACTAGAGTGAACCATGAAAACATGGAAGGGCACAGACATGATTAATGCAAAAGTCTGAAGGTATCTGGCCAAAAGTAGTAGTCACTTACAGAGAAAAGTAACTAAATCCTAATCGAGGCTGTCTTTTTCTACTTCAGTACAGTGACACACCAAAATTGTATTCCCAGATCTTTCCTTTTATTTTGAGGAAAGACTACCAACCAGAATTATACCTGTCCTTTAATACCATTGTTATTTGGCATGTATTTATTCCAGAAAGTTAGACTTTGTTCTGCTACAACACTATAACGCACCGTACTTTATTACATAAGTGAAATCTTACATGAAAAATACTTTTCCATAAGGTATTAGTTAAATAGCATAAAACCAGTCTGTGCTATCACATTTCCTCACTGAAAAAACTTCAAGTTCATCACAATATCTTTGTATTATTGAATTAACTTTTAATGTCTTGCAATCTTTTGGACCGCCACTGGCTGTAACACACAGGGCCAGTATTTAGATTTACGAATCTGGCAGTGTTGCTCAGGCTGCTGTTAGTCATTCTGGGGACAGTCACTGTTTTTTTTCAAGAGGGAAAAAACAACTTACTTGGATAGGTCAGTCTTTTAGTATGACATCATGTTTTCACTTAGAAACTTAAGATGGACAAATTGCTGAAAACAGTTTATTCATTTGGAGCATTCGCTCTTAAAGAGTTGGATTAAAGCCTGCAGGATTAAGATAAAGTCATGGGGGAGATGATTGCTGCTGAGCAGGTTTGGCAACCACCTCTCTGACCAGTCATTTTTAATCTCCTCTTAATTGTTTTGAATCTCCTCTTAGTTGTGATGCAAAACAGTAGAATTTTTAACTTCAGAAGTATAAAAGTTTACATCTTGCTATTTTTTAAATAATAGATTTTAGCAAAGAGTATTCTAATTTAAACATTTTATTAAATAATTTAGATGTATGACCTGCCATATTCAGTAAGAACTGAAATTGGAATATTTAATGGTAAGGAAAAGGCAGCTGATTGGCCAAAGCATTTTTGCTACTTTCTGATCATATTTGTGCACTAATGCCTGTAACTAACCGTTCACCCTAACCCCGCCTGCTTGCATCCCTACTAATAGTGCATGTACTAAAGGAAGGCTGGCTTTGTTCATGCTTGCTGTCAGTTTTTCTGAATACTAAGTAAACTCACAGGTGGTCACAGGGCTGGCCTTGTTCCTTCTTTAATTTCCATTCTTTTCTATATTGGGCAGGTTTGAGGTGTCATAGGAAAGACTCACACCGTAGAGCTAGAGGGTCCTCTGTTAGGATTTCACCTCTCTGTGTTACGCTGAACCGTACAGTGGTGACTGTCAGAATAGTTGAAGGGATTAAATTAGATGAAATAAGAAATGTACCTATTACTAATATAAGATGGGAGCTCTTTATTCTCATTTTTATCTAAAAAGAGATATTTTTCATCTGAGTTACATATTTGAATCCTATGACAATGTAGTGAAAATTTAACACACCCAGATCTAGGTTCTAGGACCCAGACATCGGAGGTAAAGGGCAGGGCCCAGGCATCTATATTTTGATTCTGATGTACCACTTGGTTTGCTAGTATTGGTCATATCATGGGTTAAAAAGACAATGCTCTGGAGGAGAAGATACTTCTTTATTTTGTGAGCTTGGGGATACCGTGAGTTATTCACCTACTGTATAATGAAATGGATAGAACAAGTCACTTTCATAGTAGTTACAAAACTGGACACTGAGAGCTATCATAGTGGTCTCTGTTTGTTTGTTTCTTTATTATTTATTTAATTTTTTATTTATTCATTCATTTGTTTAAATTTGACCAGAGAAGAGGGAGAGAGAAAGAGAGAGAAGGTGAGAAAGCAAGCCATCAGGTCCAGGACTTGAACCGTGGTCAGCCATGTGAGAGTGTCCAGTGCCTTAACCACCACGCCATCTGCTGGTCCCCCCATAGTGTTCTTTTTTTAAGATCAGACTCTTTTTTATAATATGAAAAGTAATATATTTTTTGAAATAAGCATGAAGGGCTTGCAGGCGGCATGGGGGTTAAGGTGCTGGGTTCCATGTGACTGACTCTGGTTTGAGTCCCAGACACAGCAGCTTGAAAATCACACCGAGTGCATGTGCGTGCATGCTCAAGATTTTAAGAGAATGTAGAAGGGATTGCAGCATGGCCATCCTCTTGGGGGGCTAGGTGGGGTAAGTTCTCACTTTCTCTCTCTCTCTCTGGTGAGTGCAGACACTAAAAAACAAAATAAGTAAAATAAACATGGATATTAAAGAAAATTTGAGAAATAGACAAGAAAGCCATCATTCTGCAATTAAAGAAGTTCACTGTTGTGTGTTTTTACTTCTAGTTTTTTCCTAAAAGGGGAGGGAGTATGTGATTATAATTAGTTGGCATATTCAGATTTTGATTCTGCATTTTTATTTTACTTTATATCACAAGCTCTTTTCTATGTGGTAATGTAGTTTTTATAACCGTCTTTTTCAATGACTACTTAATATTTCATCAAACAAACTTTTTGTTTGCCTTTAAAGTGGCTTCTATTCTACTTGTAGTTAGTTATTTATTTATTCATTTTAAGTTTGCTATAGAATGCATGCCCTCTCCAGAGGGAGACAAAGACAGACAGAGAGACAGAGGACAAGTGAAAAAATCCCTCCCCAGGGTGATGGCCACACTGCCATCCCTTCTCCATTCTCCTCTCAGGATTTTGGGCATGCATGCATGCATGCATGCCTGGCATGGCTTTAAAACTACTGAGTCTGGGACTCTAACTCCAAAGACAGCCATGTGGTATCTCCAGCCACTTTAATGCCTCCACAACACCTGCTAACCCACTTATTTTTTTTTTAAGAGATTTTTTTTGCTATCAGGTGCATGCGGTGGCCGGAGAGACAGAAAGCAAGAAGTCATTACCTAGGGGGTTAGCCACGCCGTGATCCCTTCTCCATTCTTTTCTCAGGATCTTGGGCACACATACTCATGCGCCCGGCACAAGTTTCAAGCCGCTGGGTCCGGGAATCCAACTGCGATTGACTGCATGCGAGTTTAGCAACGTAACCATTACTCTATCTGCTGGTCCCTGTAGTTTATTTTTAATAAACAGATATCGGAATCATGTCAAGATAAAGCATCAAGTGAGACTTGAACAGAATCTCTCCATTGATTACAATAATAAAAAGTTGACTCAAAGTCTCTCAAAGATCAGAAAATCTCTCATAGCTCTAAGAACACTGTTGAGGAATAGAAGGCAGCTATTCCCTCTGGCCCTCGGTTGGAGAAGATGGGTAGATCTGGGGACAGGGAGTTTATTCTCACTGCAGTTATTCATGAAGCATTTTATTTTCAGGAGAGTATTCAGAACCCTTGTTAAAGTGACTACCAGAATAAACTTGGACTTTATAAAGCATTAGTTTACAACCCAAAGCACATATTCAAACATGTTGAAATGACAAGTAAATCTTGTAGAACCGTACCCTAAATTATAGAATGCCACTTTCAGCTGTTGAAGGGCCTGCTTCTTCTTTATAAATAAAGATTTATCTTATTAAATAAAGATTAAAAATTTATTAAAAATAAAGATTTGTCTTTATAAAGATAAATCTAATTCAGGAAGGGACTTCAGTTATATTTGTTCAGAACTCCAAGTTCATGGTGAAGCATATCTATTCTGCCTTTGTGCTAAGGCTGGTTCCTGGGATTCTTTCTTCTGATGCTCTTTTATTTTAAATATAAATCTGTCATATGAACTAATTCTAAGCAATATGCTCAAAGACCAACCCCACTGTAGTGCAGATAATATATAAATCTGTAACCTAAGAGGTTTAGAGGTACTCAAAAAAGTTAATTCTTGTATATATTTTTTGTGGGTTTTTTTTACATTTTTATTTATCATTTTTATTATTATTATTTTAAATTTGACCAGAGGGAGACACAGAAAGAGAGAGAGAGAAAGTGAAAAAGCAAGCTACCAGGTCTGGGACTCAAACCATGGTTGGCCATGTGGGAGTCTAGCGCCCCAACACCACGGTACTTGCTAGCTCCCTTGCATATATTTTTGTAAAATAACCTTTTTCTTATAATGAACCAGAGTGTTTAAGACTCAAAACTATTATCTCTCCAGTTATCTTCTCTCAGGACCCTCACCCAGGGAGGTATGAACTCCTCTGGGGAACAGGGAAGATATAATGCTTATTAAGAGCCAGAGTCCAACCACTTGGGCTTTGATCCTCTTCTGCCTAGCACTGGTTGGGGTAGGAGGAAGAGTCTCTGTCTTTTCCTTATCTCTGCAGTGGAGTTCATACTGCCTCTGAATGAGTTCATGGAGGTTGGTGACATGGTGTGATAATATGTGAGGAGCACTTAGCATTACTGGTATCATCTTAACTACTTTTAGTGTGTAAACAGTTTGAAAGGGGTCAGGAAACTAATGGGCAGTTAGGCAGAGTAAAGGCATTTCTCTTCTGTCCCCGCCATGTGACCTTTTCCTAAATAATGTGTGTGGCTCATAAATAGAGAAATTCAGAAACATGCAAATCCAGAAATTATTTGTATACAATGTATCGTATGAAGAAAGAGAAAGGTACTAAGTTTGTCCTCTGTGAAGGGTTGTGGCTGATAGGTGTTAGCTTGCATGTAAATACAGATATTAATAAATAGATCTAATGCATCATACTTCCCTGCCAGGTCCTGTCTATTTGATAGCTTCTCATATACTTTGGGCTGAGAAGAGGAAGTGACTATTAGCACCATCTGTTTTGTTGAGTTAGGATAATGGGGAAGAAGTTGAATTTATGATGATTTTCTTGTACCATTGTTGCCTTTGAGACTTGGCTGCCACTTTACCTGAGGTTATAACAATGGAGGATTGGAAAGATAGTTGTAATAGTTTACTCCTCATCCATCCATCCATCCATCCATTTAACCATGAATTCAACCATGCAGTGTCCAGCCACAAACTTTATTTGTCATTCACTGTTCTCGGCTCTGGGGATACAACATAAACAAGACAGTTGTGGCCACTGCTTCCATTGAATCCCATTATGCTAAGGACAGATCCGAGACCTACTCTATTCTGTGCACAGAGACCACCTTTGACTGCACCCATTGGGTGGGAGGTACAAATAAAGCGCAAGTCGGTTGGTATTACAGTTATCTTAAGACTTGAATTGTCTGGATTGATACTCAGAGCTGAACTCTGACATTCTTCCACTTCCTGTAAATCTAAAAATGTCTCTTGAGTTGTGGTGCATATTGGAAACCTTAAGGACAAGACTGCCAACCCAGGAGTCACTGTGAAAAAAGGGACATCCCAGGGAGTTAAATAGATATCTCAGCTCAGAACTGTAGGCCAGTGTAAAAAGGGCATGAGGGCAAGAACCCTTTTCAGAGCAGTGAGCCTTCCAGAAGTGCATCACCATTTGCCAGCCATGCCTGTGAAGGTGACAGAAGGACTTTTGCAACTAGCTCCCAACAAAGGCAGATGTTCTTTTTTTTTTTTTTTTTTAAGAGATATTTTTGCTATAGGGCACGTGTGCTTGACAGAGAGGCAGCTTGAAATCACCCCCTAGGGGAGATGGCCACGCTGCAGTCCCCTCTCCTCCATTCTCCTCTCAGGATTCTGGGCATGCACACATATGCATCCGGCAAGAGTTTCAAGCCTGCTGGGTCTGAGACTCAGGACTCAAACCATGGTCAACTACATAGGAGTCGAGTGACATAACCATTACGCCATCTGCTGGTCCCAAGGGCAAATATTCTAACTTTGTATTACAAGTACAGAAAAGTAACTCTTAAACATGACTAATAAATACCTTGGTGAACCCACCTCCCACTCTAGTTCCCTCTAGGCTCCCAACCATGACTGGCTCTAACCTGGCAAAGTAAAAACTACAACAAATCTTAACCTCACCCTTCTCTCTGACTCCAGCCCTAAGATATCTGACAAGGCTCTCATAATTTGCTGGAGGCCTCTCTACTGGAGCAGCCAACCCTCTGTCTTAATTAGGGCCTGGCTCCCCTACTTGACCACAGGCTTCATTAAGGCTGTGTCTGTCTTGTTTGCTATTGTATGCTCAGCCCAAAGAGCAGCACCTGGCCCGTGATAGGTACTTGGTAAATATTTGTTCATGCATGAAAAAAAATCTGAGACCCACTGACCTTTCTAGGAAGAGGTTTATGATAAAGAAGTTGTCTTTTATGAGAATGGAAGTGTGAAGCGATTTCTTGAGGACTGCATCTTGGTAAAGGAATTTCAGTCAACATAATAAGGCATGAAAAGGGAATTAGAAGTATACATTTTAGAAAAAGAAGATAAAGTTAATATTTGTAGATTTGGTAATCTACCTGTGACTGTCAACTAGGAGTGGTTGTAACCCCTTGGGACATTTGTCAGTGTCAGGACATAGTTTTGTTTGTCTTACTTGGGGAGAAGGGATTATGTGTCACTGGCAACTGGTGGATAGAGGCCAGGGATGCTGCTCAGCATCCTGTAATGTACAGGATAGTCCACAAGACAGAATGACTCAGCTAAGGTTGAGATCATAGCATTAGTAATGGGAAGAAAACCCATTTGCCTCAGAGAAAAGAGCTCTTTCCAGTGTAACTTACGTATTCATGCAGCCCGGATGTTGTCTGGAGGTTTCAGTTGGTGTTTTAGATCCCTTGGTAACAATGAGGGTTTCTTTCTTCAATCAAAGCAAGAAAGTGCTTTGAGGACTGCATCTCTGAGGAGTTGGTGGGCTCACAGAAAGGAGTACCAGAGCCCAGAGGTGGGGCCATGCCGTGAGGTGTCTTCTGGAGTCACAGAGGCTTGACTTGACTCCTAAGGGCTAATGAGTCCTCCAGGAAGGGCTGTGTGTGTGCATGGGCTGACTCTGGAACTTTCCAGCCTCTCTTCTCAGAGTGCCCTTGGGTGTCCTCACAGTCATTACACTCATTGATACTATGTCTCCTCATCTTTTTGTCCAGACGGAAATTCTAGGGCTTCTGAAACGCTTCGCAGCATCTTTCCTGAAATACACTCATTTCTGACCCGCTTCGCAGCATCTTTCCTGAAATACACTCAGACTCTGCAAGCAAAGACCTGCCCCCCGGCCGCATTCTGCTGGACATAGACAATGACACGGAAAGTACCGCCCTGTGAAGAAAGCCACCTGCTAGCCCTTGACCCATTCCACCTTGGAGAGTGGAACAGGGACAGGCAAATATTTTTCTTACAGACCAAACAGTGAAAAGCTTTCAGTGGAAGAGAACAAAAAGAAGGCCTTACTATGCAAGATGTGGCCTTCCTCACAGCCTAAGGAGAACATGGAGGCCAACACTTAAAGCTGAATGACCTGTGTCTTGAAGAAATTGGCTTTCTTTACATGGGAAAGAAATGATGCCAAAAAATCAACAACAAAGAAGTACCTAGAGTGGAAAAAGTATTACCGCCGAGACGTGTATAGGAAGCTTTTGTCACTGCCATTTATGCGGGCAGCACCAACAGCAATTTGGGATGAGTAAGAAGCAATGCGTTAACTATCTATTTAATAAAATGTGTTAATTATGCAATTCTCCTACTTCCTGCTACCTGGACTTTCATTCTTATATATTAGGAAGGAGGTTCCTCTCCTTCAGACTTGCTGCAAAATCATTTTGTATTAAGTGTGGTCTGTGTCTTCCCTAGTCCCTCGAAACCAAGAGCATTGATGGTGACTGCTGGATCTGTCACCTCATCAAACTGGATGTGACTTGCGCCTTGTTGGATTGCCAGAATGTAGAAAGCAATGTACTGTTCTTTTTTTTTTTTTTTTTCAAACAATGTAATTGTTACTTGATAAGGACCGAACATTATTCTAGTTTCATGTTTAATTTGAATTAAATATATTCTGTGGTTTATATGAAAACTTTATAATTCTTGAAGGCAACTGTGACTTGTGTGTGTGTGTGTGTGTGTGTATGTGTGTACATGTGTGACAGCACATGCTGTCACTTAACCAAATAACATGCCGATAGGGCTGATTGTAACTGTAGGAGTTTAAAAGAATAGAGAACAAGGTCACAGCAGTGAAAAAGGTCACCAGGTACTCCAGAGACCTTCCAGACTGGCTGTCCCTCAGAGAATGTAACACTGTTAAGACTGTCCCCATGGTCTTACCAGTTCCAACATCCCTTTTGTGTCTATCTGGAGATACTTAGACCTCAGAAGGCTGACTCACAGTTAACTCAGCCCCTGCAGGGCTTGTGCAGATGTCAGGACCTAGTTCTTGCCACAGGAATTCCCTTTCCTGATGACTGGAATGCTCTCATGACCTATTCATGGCCTTCTTTTCCAGGATTGAAAAACTTGGGAAGAGTGGATGGGGAATTGGAGCCCAGCGAGGCCAGAGGGCTAGAAGGATGTTCTCATGATAGCCCCTCCCAGGGGCCCAGATATGGCAGTTTTCTCTTGGGAAAAGAGAGGGACACACATACACAGCGTTGGCTGAACTGAGCCTTCTACTGCTAGAGCTACATGATGATGGGTGTATCGGTGACCTGGCCCTCACTTAGAAAGCACCGAACCTTCCAGGGTAGACCGGCCTACCAAGCCTCACCCAAAGAGGACAACCAACATTTCACTCCAAATTCAATTCTCTGTGCCTTGCTAGAATTATATTTATTAATTACATTAAAAATATTCACCTATAAACCCATTTCCTCCCATCTTAAGTTTACATTTGCTTAAAGCTTACTCTTCCTCAACATTACCCACAGATTATTTTTCCATAACACACACACACACACACTCTCCAATTAGACAAAGCCTGCAGGGTAAGCAGTTTCTATATAGGTTCCCACTCAGTTTTGAGCCTCTTCAAGGAGCTCAGCTGTTCATGGTTTTGTGAATCTGTGGCTCCTTGGAGATGTTTCCACCATGATGCCTGAGCTCACACCCAGGAGCAAGCAGGGACATGGTACTTGTCAAGGAGACAGTGGTAGTCCCTGGGGATGAGAAAGGCCCATGGCCACAGTCCCCAGAATGTAGCATGTGTTCGTTATTGCTGAGCCAGAAGTAGAACAAACCTTACTCTTGTATTTTAGGAATGGCCTTCAGTTTTGACTCTTTTGTTGTTTGTAGCACTTTCCCCACCCCAACAACTCCAGCCTTCCAAACAGTGAGGACTGACTCTGTATAAGTGTTAAAGGTGAGCAGTAAATGGAAGCTACTCTTTGTAGTCTTTCACGGGGTGAGCCACAGTGCAGGGCTTGGAGGCCCAGCATCTGTGTTCAGAGCTATCATTGTCCCATGCAGATGAGCTGAGGGGTGTCCAGAGGCAGAGCTGGGAGTGGCACCTGCATCCTCTTTCATTCTTGATTCCTCCTCCTAAGGGAGTTGCCACATTGCTTGTCTCTTTCTTTGGCGCTATACTGGCAGAACCTCTTTTTATTCTGCCCACTGCAGAGAGGCTGGAAAGCCTGTCATCTGAATTCATTGTGGCCATCCCTAGATGTCTGTCAAGGTGCCATTCAATAGGAAGATGCTGCTGGTTCTCTGCCCTCTACTCTTTTCTACACAACAGTTTTTTATAGAAATTTCTAGGCCCATGTACCCAGACCTGTTCCTGCACCCCCTGCCCACACCACAATACCACGGTCAGTGACCTCTGCCTCCCACCACACCATGCAGTTCAGCATTCATCCAAAACTCTGGAAAGAACCTGCTCTTCATCCCCACCTCGCAGATCACAGAGGGCCAGAGCAGGTCCCAGGCTGCTTTGATTGTGCTGTATTCTACCCCTAGAGTTCAGATGCTATTAAAGTGAGCTGATCCCTGGACTATCTCAATGGTCCTAGGGCTCCGTAGGTAGACCTCATTCCCTTCTTGGGGCTCCAGTTCTCAGTGCTTCCCCCAGGCCAGTGACCTAAATAAGTGCTATTTGAAAGTCTGAAGAAAAATCCTCCTCCTTACATCTATTCCTGTGGTTCACTCCTGCCATTTCCCTACCATATCCCAGTGCCTTCACCCCTCTTTTTTTCTTTATAAATAATTTATTTAATTTTATTTATCATTATTATTATTCAGTTTGACCAGAGAGAGAGAGAGAGAAAGGGAGAGAGAGAGAGTAGAAAAGCAAGCCGCCAGGTCCAGGACTTGAAACATAGTCAGCCATGTGGGAGTCCAGTGCTTTAATCACCACACCACCTGCTGGCCCCAGCCCTCTTCTTTCAAATCCTGCTGTTCCACTTCTCCACTCCAGGGTCCCAAGTAGCCTATGAGACTCCCAGTCTTGAAGTCTTGCATCAGATTGCGGAGCATCTCATTGATGGCGATGTTTCTAAACCAATGGCTTTCACTTCTCTAGTGTGATATTTGTGCAGACTGGAGGAAGGAAAGAAGTGCTTGGTGTAGAGAAGCCACTGGTTCTGGTGCAACCAAAAGACAGACCAGAAGTGAGTGACCACACCTCACCAGCCAGCAGTGGACACTTAAAGCCCTTCTCCAGCACGCATAGCCTTCTCCTCGTGCAGTGGTAGCAAGCTATGGTGACCATCCATTGCTGCTGTGGATTCTGTGGAGCAGAAAAAACCAGCCTGCAGAGGAAGAAGTCAGCAAATGTGCAGAGAGACAGACAAGTGGCAGGAGCACATACTCTGGGTTTCCAAAAGCCTCCCAGTTCCCAGTCTGGGTCCCTGAAGCCATTCTGCATTTCTCACCCTTGTGTCCTGTTGATAAATTGTTTTTTTTTTTTCATTTTTTGCATAAACTTTTTACAGTTTGTTACCAGCAACCAAGTGACCCTTCCTTGATACAGCCCTAAAGGAGGTTGTCCCCATCTGCTCACCGTTAGGCACGTGGCTGTAGCGACCCTATGCGGCTGTGCAGGCGCACTTCCTCTTTCTGTGCCCTCCCACCCAGCTCAACCTGCCACATCCACACAGGTACACACTGTGTCAGTTACCTATCACTACATGACAAATGACCACACACTTAACTGCTTACAACAACACACACCGACTAGCTCACAGCTCCTGTGAGCCAGGCACAACTTAGCTGGGTCCTTTCCATCAAGGTGTCAACCAGGGATGAGATCTCATCTGAAGGCTCGACGGGTGTGGGGTCCACTCCCAGGCTCCCTCTGGTGACTATCAGTTTTCATTTCCTTGTGGTGATGGGACCACAAGGTACAAGAACTCTTGTTTCCGGCCATTGTCTGGAGGCCATCCTCAATGCTTAGAGGTTGCCTCTAGGTCCTTGTCACTGGAGCTACCTCAATGTAATTATTACTTCAAGCCAGCAAGGAAGGTCTCTAAAATGAGTCTACTGACAAGGCAGAGTTTTATATAATGTAATGCAGTCATTACATTACACATTATTATATATGTTACATATATAATATAATCACTGTCATAGTCTGGTGGTTAGAAGCAAGTCATAAGCTCTGTCCACACACCAGGGAAGGGATTACACAAGAGCATAAACACCAGAAGGTGGAATTCATTGAGGATTACCTTACTATTTGTTCACCACACACATCAGATTCTTAATTTACAGTCACATGTCACCAGTCTGTAAGGGGAGGCAGCATGGAGCCAGAGCTGGGGCCAGCAATGGTCAAGGAATGAGGCTGCTGAGGTCAGGAGGCACTGGGGCTGGCAGGGTCTTAAAATCCACATTTGGAAGCTATGCTGAGGCCAGTAAGGAGCTGATGAGGGAGGAAGGAACAGTCTGATTTGTGTTTTTAGATCCCTGCAAGTGCAGTATAGGAAATGGCCTGGGCGAGACTAGAAGCAGGGAACTTCTTTAAGAAGAGCTAATGCTGGTCTAAATTACAGTCGGTCGAAGCAGCACAAAGGGAGTGGGGAGAACTGATGGTCACATTCTAAGAGAAACACAATCAATGCAACTTGGTATTTGATTGTGGGTCCTTCCCACACGGGAGAGCTGATCATAGAATTAGCCCTGGGACCGATATCTACAGTCAGGGAGGGCTTCTGGGTTGCACAGTTCCCAAAGGCTGGAGGATGGTGACTGCATCAGCCATTCAGGCACCTCAGGAGCCAAATTGCTGCAGGATGTGGTCATGAATGCTCTTTGGTCACGAATACCTGGGGCAGGGTGGGCAGCCAGGCTGGGAGAGGGTATGGCTAGAAGATATGAGACCAGGAGCGGAAGAGAGTGTGTCCTGAAGGTCGTGTGCCCATTCATCCCCAGTTGCTGAATGAGGCATCAGTATGAATGACACTCAGACTGCCCTTGGGGGCTTCTGCTTTAGTTGGGCAGACAGGTAAGCAATGAATATTGGAGTGTGTTATTGTGATTTGAAATCACACATCATAGAGAAGTTATAGGGTGATCAGAGAGGATGTCCTAGAAGTGATGTCTATGCAGAGACCAGAAGAGTAGCAGAAGAGTCTGGGAAAGTCACCAGTGGCTTCTACTCAGAGGACTGACTTGATGGAATTTGCTTATTCTGCCTGTGGTTGGAGAACAGGCAAGCTAAAGGTGGAAAGGTGAGGCAGCAGGCTGGGAGCAGCAATCTGAAGAGAGGGGCAGTGACCTGGCTGCAGCAGTGACGGCTCCCACTGAAATGCACTCAGAGGTCTCAGTGTGAAGGACAGAGTTGGGATAGCTCAGGACTCTAGGGGAAACTCATTTGTGCCTCCCCCTCTCCCACCCTTTGGCCCTTGGAGAGGGAAGCTCAGCCTCCATTAAGATTGCCCCTGGAGTCCACTTGCCTATAAAACCATCTCTGTCTTTCACTCAGAGTCAGTTCCATTTCTCTTTTCATCTCTTCTAACCTTCCTTCCTTTTCAAGAAGAAAAGAGCTAAATGTCATGTTGAAAGTGGCCCGCAAACATCTTAGGACCTTTGTGGCAAACAAATTATTAATTTATTTTTCACTCATTAAAAAATCCGGGGCATTGAAAACAAACTTGAGAGCTTAGACGCCTGGGCTAACTCCACATTAAGCAAAGTAGCCCCAGAGAAAGACGGCACAGCTAATGCAGATGATGCAGTTGATATCCAGAAGGGTTTTCACGAAGGGGTTTTCTTCCAGGGAAAGTATGACGACTTCCACTTTGCTTGGGGGCTCCTCTTTGCCCTTACTGTCCATCCCACAGAGCCACAAGATGGCTTTCACCACCTTGGACCGCTTGGGGGTGACACCACCTGAAAGAACCCAGCAAAGAGAAGTCATGGAGATGGCTGGTGTCTCCCAGAGAAGGGAAAAGAGGGCACTGACCTGGTGTTCCATGCACTGGGATAAATACTTACACACCTTTTCTGGAAGATAAATAAATGCCTTAATTCTGGAAAATTAGTATTTTCAGAATGTCCAATGTTTTCTGATAAAGAATTTCAGATGGAGAAATTGAGGCTCAGACTAAAGTGAAGCCATGCAGCTCTAAGCAGCTGCAGAGGTGGGTGTAGACCCCAGTTCTGATCTTTCTCTGTATCGTGGTAACTTCCCGGAGGCTGAAGGGAAATGAGTGCTTTTGGGGAAAACTTGTATTTCTCCATTTAGAGCTGGGACTGCAACCTCTACGGCCTACAGGGCCAAGGAGGTGGAGCTTCTGAGTCAGAGGGAATAGATTTGCATATTAAACATGCCAAGATACCCTTAACCTCTACCAAGAAATATACTTTTTCTCATTTTTCTTGAAACACATGGCCTTCTGGATTTATCCTTGAGTTTCTACTTTATGTTGATATCAGTTTATATTCACAATTATTTTTTTAAAATGCACTGTGCACTGAAAACTTGGGAACCAGCAGTTAGCGTAATGGCTATGTCGCTGGACTCCCACGTAGTCGACCGCGGTTCGCGTCCTGGACCCGGTGGCTTAAAACTCATGCCAGGCGCATGTGCGTGTGTGCCCAAGATCCCGGGAGGAGAATGGAGGAGAAGGGATTGCAGCGTGACCATCCCTCCTGGGGGGTGATTTCTCGCTTTCTGTCTCTATGTCTCTCTCTGTCTGTCTGGCGAGCCCACGCGCCCTATAGTGAAAAAAAAAAAAAACCTCTCAAAAAAAAAAAAAAAAAACTCAGTCTCGGGGCTGTGGAGACATTCAGGACTGGTAATGATCTTGACTAACTGAAGGACACATCCCAAGTTGAAGAGGCAGACAGAGCTGCTTTCCAGCTCCAGACAGCTGTTACTATAGACATACAGGACCCAGTGTTGCCATGTCTTCCCATTTTTCAAGAGAAGATGGAAATCTGGAGTTTTATGTGATATCTGGTTTTTAAATGTTAACTCACATTTTAGTGCTACAGTAAGTGGGCTAAACCAAAATATGTCTGCAGGCTGCCAGTTTATACCCATTAATTTAGAGAATGCTAGTGGTACTCCAGCTTGTCCCCTAGGCTTGCGTGAGAAGTGAGCCATGTTTTACTAGGCACTCACCAAGTGTGTGCTATCGCCCATCTGAGGCTTCTGTTGAAAGTTACTACACAACCCACTTCTGATGGCCAGAGACTGAGGAAGAACCAGACACTGGGGATGCTAAAATTATATCTTTCTCCTTTTCTGGCTTCTGATTTGATAGAAACATTTCCCCAAAACACATAAAGAAAAAAGAGGAGACTCACAGCTGTGGGTTTTGGACGTGTTTTCTTGAACAATCTCAAACTGGATACTGGTGCTGGTTGCCTCTGTTGTCCCATTCTGAGAAGGCGTAAGAGGCAGGGGGCTTGCTGGTGATATCTGCTCCTTTTGGACGGTGGGGTCATGACGTGTAAACCAGGTCAGGTGACTGACCTAAGGTGCAGAGATGAATTGTGAGAAATGCATGGGGGGGGTGTCTGCCATCCTCTTCTCACATCTGCGGTCCACAAGCTCAACCTTCATGTTCAAGTCTGCTCCCAGTCTCACCCTCTCTCCCGCCCTCCAACAAGCTTCAGCTCCTTGTGCTCCAGGAACATTTTCCCTGCTCATCCCCCTGTCTTTCTTTGACAACCCTCATTCTCATGTTGAGATCTAACCCTCCTTCATTCAAATCCTCTAGAGTTTAACCCCACCCCAACAGCATGATTGGACCCAAGGGTTGGCCAATTCAGCTCATCCATTTCTCTGGCCATAGGAATTGAATTTTTTTCAGTGGGTGGGCAAGTCTTGAACTGACTCCAACAATGGGAATCAGGAACTTTTTCTGGAAATCTTGGGACATAAATGCTTATATTTTTGCTTAATGACAATAATAGAAGCTGTTGGCCCCTTATGGGGCCTAAGAATCAAAGCAGAAGTGAGAGATTCTGGTAACCTTTTCTGGTCCTGAATTGACCTGTACCTGAAGCCTAGCTCTGAACTTCACAGCTTTTTGAATGATCAGTCCTCTTTGCTTAAGTTAGTTTGAGTCACTTTTCTGTCACTTGCACCAAAGAATTTCAATATAACCACCAACTCAAATGTACCATCTCCTTGGAGGGCGGCTCTGTGAAACAGCTCACGATGAACACGGTGATGAAGGTGACTGTGGACAGAATCATGGAGAAGTAGAGATAGTGCACATACTTCACTATGACAGGACGTTCATCTGGCTGGTCACACCGAGGCTGTGCATAAATGAAGTCCAGGACCAGTCTAATGAAGCCCAGGAGCAGGCCCAAAATCAGGCCTGAGAAGGCACCCTGCAAATCAAGCAAGAAGTCAAGGATATGGGCCTCCAGAGCCTCAAGAAGCCATATCAAGAGCTTGTCTTTCTTGTGACTCTTGTTGCATGGGTCCGTGATTTGGAAAGGGTTGAAGCTACTCCTCTACTTTTCTTTACATATAGTAATTGATTGCATATACTTTACTTGTTCTTTGTTAATTTAATTTTCCTGTTAAATGCAAGATACTTCTGAGAACCCCATTGCTTTTGTTCAAAGGCCAGGTAACATCCTCCCTGCATCTTTCACCATAGAACTCACCCTCCCTAAGGATACCCAAGTTCAGTCCATCCTCATGTCTCCCTCTGGCCCCTTCCCCTCCCACCCTTTTCCAGTCCTCATGCATGATGCTTGGTTCTTTACATAGTGGGGGGCCAATCCATATATACCTTTTCATTAGTTCGTTTCCAGAAACATCCCATGATGAAGACCACAGCCACAGGTGGCTGCAGGTAGGAGCTGATGGACTGGATGTAAATGAAGAGTTGGCCACCCTGGCTGGCTTGGACCACAGGGATCCAGAGGATGGAGACCAACACCAGCAGCAACACAAACACCCTGGCACCAGACAGAGAGAGGTTCTATGTCAGCACCACTTTCCCTGAACAATTACTTCTGTCTCTTTTAACAACTTTATTGAGGTAAAATTTAAGTACCATGATATCCACCTGTTGTAAGGACATCACCCAGTAACTGAGTAAATTTTTGAAGGCATGCAACTATCTTCATGATCAAGATTTAGAACATCCCCCACTCCAAAAAGTTTTCTCATGCCCATTTATAATTTATTTCTGTTTCCACTCCAAGTAACCATTATCCACCTTCTATCTTTATGAGTTTGCCTTTTCTGGACATTGGTACCATGTAGTCTTTTACGACTGGCTTCTTTCAATAAGCTCAGTTGATTTTTATCTTTTATCTTTTTTTAAAAGTGTATTTATTTATTTACTTATTTGTTTTCAGTGAGAGAGAAAGAGGGAAGCACCCCCAACAGGTGTGTAGTCCATGCTGCAGTCCAACCCCAGCCTCAGCCGGCCTGGATCACAAGCACTCATGCCTGTGTGCCCAGCATGTACAAGGAGACTTTGGAGTGCAAGCCAAGGACCTTCCCATGTGGATCCAGAATCACAAAGTATTTCCTTACTGCTGTGCCACTGCAGCTGGCCCAACATAATTTTGCCATAAGGCACATGCACTCACTGGAGAGAGATGCGGGGAGAGGTAAGGGTGAGAAAGCACCTTCCAGGGGAGATGGCCACACTGTAATCTCTTCTCCTCCATTCTCCTCTTGGGATTTTCAACATACACACACACACACACACACACACACACACACACCTGCGATATTTCTCAAAGCCACCAGGTCCAAGACTAGACGCACACAGATGGCCAACACACACACACACACACACACACACACGCGATATTTCTCAAAGCCACCAAGTCCAAGACTAGACGCACACAGATGGCCCTGTGGGATCCAACCGCCACGAGCTGGCCCCCAACATAATAATTCTGGAAGTTTATCCATGTTGTAACATGTATTGGTATTTCATGATATTTCATTCCTTTTTATTGTTGGAAAAATGTTCTGCCAGGTACAAGATTTGAACTGTAGTCAACTACGATGGAGTCCAGCAACATAACCATTATGCCATCTGCTGGTCCCTATGCTTAACATTTTGAGAAACCACCCAACCGTTTTAAACAGTTGAACCATTTTATATCTTTACCTACAATGCATGAAAGTTCCGATTTCTCCACATTCTAATCTATCTTTTAGATTACAGCATTTCTAAAGGGTATGCAGTGGTATCCCATTGCAGCTTTGTTTGTCTGTTTGAGACATGGTCTCACTATGTTGATCCTCCTGACTCAACCTCCAAGTAGCTGAAATTATAGGTATATATCAGCACTCCTGGCCTTATTGTAGTTTTATTTGCATGTCTCTAATGACTAATGATACTGAGTATCTTTTCATGTGTTTGTTAGAAACATCTACCAAATCTTTTGATTTCTAGTCTTATTTTATTATGTTAGAAGAATTATTCATATGTTGGAGATGACAAGTCCTTTATCTGATAAATGACTGGCAAATATTTTCTACCAGTCTATGACTTGTCTTTTCATTTTCTTTTTTAAAAAAATAATTGTTGGGGCCAGAAGATGGCATACCAATTATGTCATTGGACTCCCAGATGGTCAACCATGGTTTGAGTCTCAGATCCAGTGGCTTGAAAATCCATCTGGAATATACTGCATTAAAAATACCTATTTGATGACTGCAGTAAGCTACATAGCCCCAGCTAGGTGCTACTTTATAGTATGCTCATTCTAGATGGAAAAATCTCATTTTGTATGCTGTGGTGATGTATAGTGAATGAATGTAAATAAATAAATTTAAATTAAAAACAAAAAGAGGGGACCAGCAGTTAGCGTAATGGCTATGTCGCTGGATTCCCATGTAGTCGACCGCAGTTCGCATCCCAGACCCAGTGGCTTAGAACTCACGCCGGGTGCATGTGCCGTGCGTGCCCAAGATCTTGAGAGGAGAATGGAGGAGAAGGGATTGCGACGTGACCATCCCCCCTGGGGGGTGATTTCTCGCTTTCTGTCTCTATGTCTCTCTCTGTCTGTCTGGCGAGTGCACGGACCCTATAGTGAACACCTCTCCAAAAAATTTTTTTAAAAAATAAAAATAAAAAAAAGAGAAAATCATGCTGAGTGCATGGGCGTGTGTGCATGCCCAAGATCCTTGGAGGAGAATGGAAAGGAGATTACAGTGTGACTGTATACCCCGGGGAGTGATTTCTTTCTTTCTTTCTTTCTTTCTTTCTTTCTTTCTTTCTTTCTTGCTATAGGGCGCGTGCACTTGCCAGACGGACAGAGAGAGACAGAGAGCCAGAAAGCAAGAAATACCCCACAGGGGGGATGGCCACGCCGCAATCCATTCTCCTCTTGGGATCTTGGGCACGCACGCACACATGCCCGGCGTGAGTTTTAAGCCACCAGGTCCGGGACTCAAACCGCGGTCGATTACATGGGAGTCCAGCAACATAGCCATTACACTAACTGCTGGTCCCGAGAGTGATTTCTCACTCTCCCTCTCACTGTCTCCCCTAGCAAGTGCACACACTGTACAGCAAAAACCTCTTAAAATTAAATACATATGTGTGTGTGTGTGTGTTAACTTTTTTTCCTTATGTGCTAGGTAACATAACATGTATACATGAGCATCACATAGAGAGAAAGCACCTCCCAACAGTGTCTGGTCACATTACAATCCTGTTTTCCTCCAATTCTCCATCCATCAGGATTTGGAGCACACCTGTGTTTTGAGCCTGGCATGTTTCTCAAGCTGCCAGGTCCAGGACTTGAACCCTGGTTGACTATGGGGGATCCATCTTTCTTATGTATAGCACTTAACTATTGTGCCACAAGGCCAGCCCTGTCTTTTCATTTTTTTATTGGTGTCTCCTAAAGTGAAGATATTTTAAATTTCTATGTGGTCCAATATATCTTTTTTTTTCTTTTATGAATTGTGAATGTGTTTTTAGTGTCATATCTAAGAATTCTTTTCCTACCCACGTCTGAGACAGTCCTAGGATGTACCTTCCTCAGTGACAGAACGCCAGAGTGATTATTTGCATATATTTACATAAAATTGGCATGCCAATTATTTTAGTCTTTTTCACTCCTCCCATTAGACTTTGCAGAAATCTTGATATGGAAACCTCCCTGAAATTCCCAAAACAGTCTCCTCCCTTTTACCTGGTTAACTCCTATTCATCTCTCAGGACCCAACATAGGTTGGCTGCCCCTTCTAAAGTCTAGGTCTCCTCATTCCCCCCGTAACAACATATTAGGGTTATAATGGTTTGTTTACTCCTCCTCTTCCTCCTTCTCTTCCTCTGTCTCTAGCTCCATGAAAGCAAGAACTGAGTCTTGCCTTTTCACTTCTCTGCACCCTGTCCCTGGCACATAGTAGGTCTCATTGGTGATCTCTTGAATGAATGAATGGCTTGCTTACTGGCTCATGGAGTCCTAATGTTGCTCATCTTGACTGTCAGAGGAGGCTGAGTCAGTCTGGTGAAATCATAGGCTGGCCTTTGCCACCGGGCTGGCACAGCTCTCTCCCCCATGGGTGTCTGGACTTCTCACTGCCCTGCCCAGCCCCCACTAAGAAGGCCTTACCTTCCCACAATCATGAGCTCCTTCTCAGACGCCCGGGGCCGAATGTGATTCCAGAGGTCCATGGTGAAGATGGTGCTGGCACTGTTAAAGATGGAGGTGAGGGAGGACATGAGCGCTGCCACCATCACTGCCATCATGAGCCCACGGAGCCCTGGGGGCAGAAAGGAGGTCTGTGGGCCTCAGGGTTTCCTGCCAACACCTCCTGACCCTGTTGCCCCAGGCCAGATACCAGTAGTCCTGATGAGCTCAGCGTGGAGGAGGCAGAGCCCCCGTGAGGCCAGAACATCCTCGCCTGCTCATAGCCCTCCCATCCTGTTCCTACTCAGATCAGAGCCTGCTAATTAACCCCCCTCTGGGTGCTGCAGAGGACTCAGCTCAGGGGTGAGGGAAGGTTACCTGTGGGCAGGAGCTCCAGCACTAGTTTGGGATATGCAATGTCAGAACAGCCAGAGGGGTTACTGCAGACCTTCTGGCAGATATCCGGATCCGCACAGGCCACTTGCTCTGCAGAGAAAACACAGAGAAAACTGGGGTAACAACCTAACTCTAGTTCCTAAGATTGTAGTGAGATTGACAGAGATAGTACACTAAAGCACTTTGCACAGTCTCGCACTGGCTTTAGCTATCCTTAGCGTAACCCAGATACAGCTGAGACACCTAGTGGCCAGTCTCACCACGGTGTCCTACATTAAGCTCCATCCCGCCCACTTCCAAAACGGAAGTGCACATCTTCCAAAAGCAGTGCACATCTTTACTGAAGTTTCATGGCGGTATGAAGGAGAAAGCCATTGCATGACACATGGCAAACATTTAAAATTTTCTGTTTCCCACTTCCTTCTCAGTAGCTCGTGTGGTTCAACAAGCTGTTTCTCATTCCAGACAAAGTCTGGCTTGGAATTTCTCTCTCCTGTTTCTGCACTCCTTTTCTCTCCTGAGTGGCTCTCTGGTTTTTCTATGTAAATCCATCTAGCCTTCCTGGCATCTCTAGTCCTCCTTCTCTACATATGATCATGGTGGACACATCCCAAGCACATAAGCATAAGCCTCCTGTTTCACAGACAGGAGAGGAGATTTTTTCTTTTCTTTTCTTTTCTTCTCTTTTTCTTTTTTTTTTTTCCACATAGAACACATGCACTTACCAGAGAAAGCCAGAGAAGAAGTGAGAAATCAACCCCCAGTGGGAAGGGCCATGCCACAATCCCTTCTCCTCCATTTTCTTACTAGCATTCTGGGCACACACACACACACACACACACACACACACACACACACATTTGGGTGTGATTCCCAAGCCACCAGGTCTGGGACTCAAACCACAATCAGCCATTTGGGAGTTTTAGGGAGTCCCCAACCACCACACCACCTGCTGGCCCCCAGAAGAGGAGATTTTTTAAATCTCTACTAGTGTGTGTCAAAGTAGATAGTAAAAAAATAGTTGCAGGGAGAGTGGGCTATCACATTCTTTTTTTCTTTTCTTAACCTTATAAGGAAGGCAGAAATCACTTTTACATTTTGTAGATAAAGAGAAGACCATGATCTCAGATGATCACTACCCATCAAGATCATGTCAGATGGGGCCAGTGGGTGGCATGGTGATTAAGAGGCTGGACTCCCACATGGCTGACTGCAGTTCAAGTCCCAGATCTTTTGGCTGGTTTTTTTACTTTCCCTCTTTATTTTTTTTCAGTGTCTCTCTGGTAAGCGCACATGCCCTATAGGAAATTTAAAAGTAATAATAAATTAATAATTCTTTCATTTATTTATTTTATAGGGGTTTTTTGCTATGGGGGTATTTGCTAGCTGGAGAGAATGCTTTTTCATCTTTAGCAAGTCTGATCGTGACCCCATTCAGGTCCTAACCTCCACCACAGGACCTTCAGAATATTCCATGTTGTTCTGATGGTTTGACACCCATGTCTGGATGACATCTTTTTTGGGTCACCTTCTGTCTCTCCCAGCTCCTCATACCAGAGCTAAACAATGTTACTCACCACTATGCCAATGCCTATCTGATACCATTCACCCCTATGGTGGCCTTCCCCAGCTGAGTCGCTTTGACTTTTCAAGGTGAATCTAGGTATAACTCCCATAAAGAATTCCCAGCCCTTCCCTATGCTTAATCCACAGGGTCGAGTCCTTTCTCCTCATTCAGAGAAGACAATGCCTTTCAGCCTGTCTTCTATGGTGAGGGAGATCTACTCTGAGCTCTAGTGTAGGGGCAGGCTTGGAACCCTGCACTTTGTGCAAGCCTCCCGCTGGGTTCTGAGGCAATATTAATGTCATCATAACCATTGACCTGAGGCCTTGGATTCACCAATGACCTCAGATGCAGATACTCCACAATATTTCCAGATGACATTATGTAATTAGTTTCTGTATTTGTGTTGGCTTACAAATGTTAATTTGAGAGTCCAGAGGGGTGTGGTGGTTAAGGAACTGAACTCCCTCAGTTCGAGTCCCGGTCCCAGTGACTTGAAAATCACTCCAGGTAAGTGTGCGTGTGTGTGTGTGTGCATGCACCCAAAGTCCCGAGAGGAAAAAGGAGGAGAAGAGATTGCAGTGCAGACACTGGTCCTGGTGGGTGATTGCTTACTTTCTCTTTCTCTGTATCTCTCTGACTCTCTTATCTCTGGTGGGTGCATGCACCCTATGACAATAAATAAATAAATCCTTAAAAAAAAGAAATGATAAGTTAGTAAATAGAAACATATAAAGTACACTGTAATTTAAAAATCCAGTATTCTTGTATCTTCATTTATTCTTCTAATGTAGCCTTCAGAAGGTCTAAGGAATTAACATGGGGGAGC